AATGTGGCAAATCCCTTGTGTTTTTGGACCCTGACCCCGCGGATCTGCGTGAGGGGTGGCACCGAATTTCAGAAATGTGGCAAATCCCATGTGTTTTTGGACCCTGACCCCGCGGATCTGCGTGAGGGGTGTCGATTTCGAGCCCCCCCAGCAATTCAGACAACGCGCCCAGGGGGTGCTAAAAAGCCGGTTTGGGCCTCCCCCCCCTCGCGCGGTCAATCAACTAGTTACAGTAACCAGCAATAAGTCAACTAGTTACAGTAACCAGCAAGAAGCAGAACTGTAACACTGGAAACTACAACCTACGACTGGTACAGGAAACTGCGAATCACGGGCCTACAGCCTGGTGGCCCCACAAGGGGGCCGGCGGATATATATATATATATATATATATACATATATATATATATATATATATATATATATATATATGTGTGTATATATACAAGTGGCACGTGTGAGCCCAAGCTTATACAAAAACCTGAAAGGGCGTTTGAAGCAGGAGAAGAGGAGGAGGATAGCTGCCGGGAGTGAAATGCAATAGCCAGGTTGCACTCGAGCGCAAGTGGGGTTGCCACACCTTGCGATGTGTGTACCAGGGCAGGAGGCCCGACTTGGATACCAGAAGAGTCATGAAGCTGCGCCCTCCAAGCGGATTGGTGCAACGATTTCGTGTTTTTCCGATGCAGAAAATTATAGATTTCCACGATTTTCGGTTTTTCTTTGTTCAGAATTTCTTGCGTCGCCGACCCGCTCCGATATTGGGCATTCGGCGTGCGGCTTGTGCGCAATCTCGCTTCGACGCGTCATTCGAGCGGCGTCGCCCCCGGTCTGTTTCCGCCTTGTCTCTCTGCTACCATTTTTCTCCATAAAGTTCAGAATCGCGTTTTCGGGTATCGTTTCAGCTCGCGGTGGCCTCTCCCGGGGTGTTGCGCGCGTCGTGGGCCGTCTGGAAGCCATCGTGAGTGTCGCGGGCCGATCGTTCGACGACTCGGAGCCCTCTGGGACCGTCTCGGGCGCCTCTTGGGGCCCTCTTGCATCGCTTTGGGGCGCCTGAAAGCCGCGCCCAGGACAAACACCATCTCTGGCCCGACCTGGCCGGGGCACTTAGCGCCCGGGGGCACCTCTGGGCTGCCCCGCGCGCGCGAAGTAGAAATGCTGCGAGGCAGTCGCCGGAGATCTTCGCGCGCCTCTGGCCCTTGGGGCCGGCGAGTCTTCCCCGAGGAGCATGTCCAGTGCGCTGTGGGGCGCGCGACGAACGGGCGGGCCAATTTCGAGGACTCCTCCTCTCCTCCTCTCCTGCTGCTGCTCCATTCTTTCCTTTTCCTGCTGCTGCTGCTGGCCTTCCTGCCGCTGCTGCCGCTCCCTCCTTTTGATTTTTTTCTTTACCGTCGCTGATGTTTCGCGGGCGCGCCTGCCTGGCACGCCGGCGCACCGGGCAGGCCCGCGATTCTGCGCCCGCGACTTCGCCCACGATTTCGGCAACGCGATTTCGCCCACGATTTTGGACACGAGTTTGCCCACGATTTCGGACGATTTTGCCAGCGACTTTCGGCTACGATCCCGCGCCCCCTTTGCAAAGCCCCATGAAACCACCCACGATTTTGAACGCGATTTTCTTTGATTTAATTGTGAGAAAAATCGTGGTCAAAAAAGTGTGCCTCCGCGGAAGGGAGGCCAAAAAAGTGTGCAACATAGGGGCCAACACAGTGCCCCAAATCGTGGTCAAGTGGGGAGTGGGAGCAGGGCGCCGCAGAAAGGCGGCGGGGGGGTCGGGGAGGAGGCCAGGGGCTCCCCCGGGGACCCCTGCTCGGTTGGAGAGGATGCCCTCGCGGCGGGCTGCGCTGCCTCGCGCGGCGGGTTCGCGATTGCGCCGCCGCGCCCGCGGCGGGCCGTTGAGGCTTCGAAGCCGACGTTTGCCGTCAGGCCCTTCTTCTCCGCCACCAGCGCAGCCGCGCGCCGTGGCCCCCCGGGGAGAGCGCGGGGGCCTCGCCGCGGTTGCGGCAGAGTCTGCGCCAGCGGCCCCCGCGCCCGCGGTGGGCCCCACGAGCGTTACGCCCCAGAAGCGGAGTTTGCTCAACTTGCGCCGGCATGAGACCCAACCGTTTCCGGCGCCCCGCCAATTCCCCACGTGGCGCTCGCGCTCGAGCGTTCCTTCTTCACGCGGGGTCTCCAAATTGGCCCTTTCTCGTGGTCCGTCGGTCCCGCGCCGGCGCGTTCCATCATAAATCACTTTGGGAGGTGTTTGTCCCGCGCAAGCTATCGGCCGCGCGGCTGGGGCAGCGCCTGGCCTTTCGACCGCTGTGCGCGCGCGCCGATTCCGCCTGCGCTTCGACTGCGGCTCGCGCCCAAATTCGCGCGGGCGCTACGCCGGACGATTGCGGAATGAAGCGTCATCGCGGCGATGAGTTCCATGGCGGTCACGCGGCGGCCTGGCTCGGGGGCCGCGTCGGTCGCGCCTCCGCGGCTCGCCCGGCGTGACTCAATTGCGGGGGCAGGCGGCGCGCGGCGACTCGATGGCGCTCGGGCGTTCCATGATGATTCCTCGCGGTCCAGCTTGAGGAAAGCAACATGTTGGACATTCTTCCACTTTGAAATCTGCTTGGCAAGAGGAGGCTCCAGGAGGCCTCAGGATTGTGAGTGTTGTGTGTGTGTGTGTGTTTGTGCATGTGTGTGTTTGTGTGTGTGTGTGTGGGATGTGTGCTCTGCGTTGTGCGTGTTTTCTGTGCGTTGTAGGTGTTGTGTGTGTGTGTGTGTGTTTGTGTTTGTGTGTGTGTGTGTGTGTGTGTGTTATGTTTGTCTAGCGTGTGATGTGTTGGGTGTGATTTGTGTCTCTGTGTGCACATGTAGTTCTGAGGCCCCAGGAGGCCCCAGGAAGCCCCGGGCGGCCTCTGGAGGCCCCAGGCGACCCCAGGAGGTTCCAGGAGGCCCCAAGAGGCTCCAGGAGGCCGCAGGAGGCCCCAGGAGGCCCCAGGAGGTTCCAGGAGACCCCCAGGAGGCTCCGAGGCGGTGTCAGGGGTGCCAGAAGGTACAGAAAGCCCCAGGAAGCTCCAGGAGGTTCCAGGAGGCTCCCAGGAGGCTCCGAGGCGGGGTCTGGGGTACCAGAAGGTACGTCGGGGTTCGATGTTGGGAGGATGTTTCAGGCGAGACCGCAATTCTCCGAGAATCGGGGTCGAACTCGTTGAAAGTACAACGTGTTTTTGAAGGTGCCATGTTCAAGTGTTGAAATTCCAATGTGTTCTTGGACCCTGACGTCACGATCTGTTTGAGGGGTGCCATCGATTTTCAGAATTCCGAGGATGTCCCTAGCCCAGCGGCCAAAAGAATCGCGAACGACGCGGCGCGTACGCACGAATCGCCTCTGAGCTCTACTCGTTCGGAAAAGGTGCGTATGATACTATATATATATATATGTGAATATATAATTATATGGTTTACACACACATATATATGTATATATGTATATATGTATGTATATATATATATATACATATCCCTATTGAAACAATATTGCTCGATCGATTTATAAATATGTGTATTTTAATGTGTGTCGACATCTTTCGTATACGTACATCCATACATATATGTATATATATAGATGTCTATGTGGATCTCCATATCGGAATATTTATATATTCAATTACAAACCTATTCATACATACATACATACATATATAGAGGTGTATAGCTATGGGTGTGTGTCGATCTATCTACATATATATACTATATATGTATAGAACTATATATATATGTTTATGTATAGATGTACCTCTCTCCACATGTATAGCTTTATACATACATATATAGAGAGAGAGAGCTATTTCTATTTCAACCATCGGGACACCAATCGGGACAACCATCGAAGCAACCATCGGGACAACCATCGGGACAGCCATCGGCACAGCCATCGGGACAACCATCGGGTCACCCATCGGGACAAACTGTAAGAACAACTATATATATATATCTATACCTATATCTATACCTATTTCTATATCTATATATATATATGCATATGTGTATACACCTGAATCTCTATTTTTTCGAGCAACCATCGAGACAACCATCGAGGCAACCATCGGGACAACTATCGGGACAACCATCGGGACAACCATCGTGTTAACCATCGGGACAACCATCGGGACAACCATCGGGACGACCATCGCGACGACCATCGGGACAACCATCGGGGCAACCATCGGGACAACCATCGGGGTAACCATCGGGCTAATCATCGGGACAACCACAACCATCGGGACAACCGCCGGGACAACCGCCGGGACAACGGGGGGCCACGCCCGGCGCTCGGGGGGCGGCCAGCTTTGCCTCGCCCGCACGACGACACGAACCGAAACCGAAACCGATTTCCAGGTTGGGGTCACTTCCGTTCCAACCCCCCAACCTCAGACCATCATGCCTCTTGGTTTTCCGTTGTGTCTTCTGTTCTAGCTCGGTCGCTTCTTCTTGGAGGAGTTTTGCTCTCTTGCATCTAGACCTACGCGTTTCACATGATTCCAGTTTCGGCGTTCCCGCGTTGTGGAGATTCAGATCCAGCCAGGAGCTCGGGTGAGGGAAGCCTGTTCTATAGGACTCCGAAGCCTGATACATAGTTGCAACGTCTGCACCTGTGGGTGCGCCGTGTTCCCCCAGGCCACATCAACTGAACCAGGTCCGCCGTCTCAAGTTCTTTTTTTCCGAGGAGGAGGAGGAGGAGGAGGTGGAGGAGGAGGAGGAGGAGCAGGAGGAGGAGGAGGAGAAGGAGGAGGAGGAGGAGCTTGGATCAAGTGAGCCCTCGCATCGGGATTACTCGGCAGTGCAGCCGGGCGTTCCGAGCCCTGCGCGCAGCCTCTGCCGCCTTTTCTTCCCCCCCGCCCCCCGCCCCCCTCCCTGGGCGCCCACCGTCGGGCGACGAGAACTGCGTGTCAACTGCCCGTGGGCCTGGCCGGGGGGCAGTGGACATGTGTAGATCTCTCCGCCCCACATCGGCTGACGCCCCCGAGGCTGTCTTCTACCGGCTAGACGAGACCATCGTCGCAGACGCGATGGCCACCTGGGCGGTTGGCAACTTCCACGCGCTCTCCCGCGCCACGGGCGGGTGGAGGTGTGCGATCCGCCCGCGCTCCGCATGCTTTGGTGGTGAGTCGCGGGGGAATCAAGGCGAGGCGTGGCCGCCCAGAGGGGCAACTCTTTGAGAGGGCGAGATGTTGGAAGCCGTGACGAAGAAGAGGGGTCCATGGCGTCACCCACACAGGGGCGGCCCCGCGGGGGCCGCGCACACGGTGAGAAACCTTACAAGTAAAGGCTTCGTGGCGGGCGCTTTCTCGCCAGTACCGCCTGGTTAGCGACATGCCACCACATGTGTGTACTAGATGCTCGGTTCCGACGAGCGTCTCCAAGGAGGGCGCATAGTGCCACGTGGTAGATCCTTCTGCGCCCCAGCCACGTGGGCAAGGGGGCGGAAGTTTCTCGCCCGTCGCGGCCCCCTCGGAGCCCCGGGCCCTCCCTCTGCCCTGCAGGGAGCGCTAGGCAGCGGGCCGTGGTGAGAGCTGCCGGTGCCCAGACGCCCCCCTACCCGGGTGTCCGGGACCAGCTCCGCTCGAAGCACGGCCGCTCGGCATCGCTCGGGCGTGTGCCCTTTTTCTTCCTCGGCGAGGCCCGTCGGGGAGCATCTCGGGTCCTCTCGCGGGACGCAGCAGAGCGCACGGGACCGTAGCATGCACGGGGGGGGGGACGCCCGAGCGGCGGCGAGGTCCCCTCGTGCCAGGGGGGGGGAGGGAGGGCGGCGAAGGTCGCGGAGCGGCGGAGAGCTCCGACGCCGTCTGGCCTGGGCCTCCTGCCGCTGCACCTGCGACGCCGACGTGCCGACTGATTTCACCAGCCTCGAACTTATCCCCATCCCTAAGATTGACACGCCAAAAGGCGATAACAATCTTAGGGATGCGCCCTGAAAAACTATGGGACCCCCTAAGATTGGCATTGTGATGAGGCGATGCCCAGCTTAGGGATAGGGATATGTTCCAAGGCTGGTAATGATTGCCAGCTTGAAGCACATCCCCGTCCCCATGTTCGGTATCATCTTGCCTGGGTGCCGATCCCGAGGAGCCCCTCGGTTCCAGAGGGTGCCTCCTTGGGATTGCCATCGCCGCGGGCTTGCCGATCTTGGGGACAGGGATCTGTTCGAGGCTGGCCAGGCCGATGGGGAGGAGGGCGAAGGTCTTTGGGCAGCGCAGTGCGTCGACGCGGCTCGGCCCGAGCCTCCTGTCGCCTGCCCTGCCCAGGGGAGGACGAGGATGGCGAGGACGAGGAGGACGAGGAGGACGAGGACGAGGACGAGGATGACGAGGAGGAGGAGGAGGAGCAGGAGGAGGAGGAGGAGGACGAGGAGGAGGAGGAGGACGAGGAGGGGGAGGGCCATGGAAGACCTCCTTGGATTCGCCTGTCGGCGATGCTCGGCGGTCCGGAGGGGCCTTCCCCTCATGCCAGCGTGAAGTCGGGCCTGTGTCTCTTCAGGAGGAATATTCAAGAGTAGCCAAAAGATAGTAAGGGTACGATTTCCCCTATGACAGTATCTTCGGAGTATGTTTGAATACCTTTTACCAGTTCTCCTTTTTCGTCCAAAACCCGCCTGTAGGAGGACATTCCCGACCTGATGCCAGCGCAAGGGATGCTTTTAACATGTAGCACACATGCTTCAAACATGTTTAGAACATGTTTCCGACATTTTCAACACATTCTAAATTCAGTGGTAGGACTGTTGGGGTGTCCATGGTCGTGGCAGCACCCGCAGCACTCCTGGCAGCACGAGCCTGACGTGCCTGGAGCGGCGCAGGGCGTCGGCGTCGGCTCCCTTGGCCCACGGACCACCCAGGGGGGCCCTGCCGGACAGGGCTGGGACGCGGCCAGATCCGCTCTGGGGAAAAGGAGGAGGAGGAGGAGGAGGAGGAGGAGGAGGAGGAGGAGGAGGAGGAGGAGGAGAGGGAGGAGGAGGAGGAGGAGGAGGAGGAGGAGGAGGGAGGAGGAGGAGGAGGAGGAGGAGGAGCGTTCCGGAACGCGCTCCGAGCGTTCCGCAACGCTCTGAGAAGGCCGCGGCCCCCGGGACATCCTCCAGAGCCGCCGCATCGCAGATGTGTTCTCGGCTCCTCCTCGCCCGAGTTCGTCCTCGTCCTGGCTTCGTCTTAGAAGTGCGCCGGCGTCGCCTCCCCCTGGCCCGTGGGCCACCCATGGGGGGCCTTGGGAGGCGACGCTCGCCGCGGCGTTCCGAAATGGAGCCCCCTCTGCGAGGAGGGGTGGAGGAGCAGAAGGGGAGGAGCACACGTGTCCGCAGCAGGTATCTGCCGTCGGGGTGCGATTAGTATCGGCGGCGCGCCCAGGGGGAAGTTGGAAGGGGGAGGCCTCCTCAAGAGGCCTGGTCCTCCTCGCGGATCCGTCTCCGTCCTCTCCTCCCCTCCTCTCGCAGCCTCCTCCCGTCCCCTCCCCTCCCTCTCTTCCTGCCCTTGACCCTCCTCCTCCGTCCCCCGCTCCGCCCCACCCCGTTCCTCTTCGTCCTCGTCCTTGTTCCCGGAATCCATGGTTGGCAAGAATCGGCGGCGAGCGAGGGGGCGGAGGTGAAGAGGAGCAGGCCTTCTCCGGAGGCGGCGCGGCTTCTCAAAAGCCCCCCGGCCCTCTGACAGACTCGCCGTGCCTCCGGGGAAGGAGTTCTGAAACCTTCCTCGAAGGCCAGAGGGCTGCCCAGGCATGCCGAGAGGGGCCGCCCCCTCTCGCCGCTCTCGCCTCTCCCCAGGGGCTGGTCGCCGAGCGAGGGGTGCGAGCACGTGCGGAGCGAGCTGCGGACAAACGCGGCTCCCACGATCGGTCGGCCTGTGCGCGGGCGCGGCGTGCCTTTCCACCGGTCTGCTCGCGGGCCCGGCCGGGGAGGGTCGAGCGCGCGAGCGGGCCCAGGCCATCATCTTCGTCTGCTGCAACTGCTCGCACTGGCGGACGGAGGGCAAGGACGTGCAGTACTCGCAGCCCGAGGACCCGGCGCGGAGCAGCGGGCCGTCTCGCTGGGAGCCCGCGCGTGGGGCGCGCCCCCACCCCTGGCCCGCCACCGATCGTGAGGGCATCCTGTCGCCTCACCGCCTGCGGCGCACACGGGGCAGCGGGGTGTGCGGAGGGGGGGGAGGGAGGAGGGAGGAGGGAGGAGGGAGGGGCAGGGGGAGAAGGACCAGAGGGAGGACGATAAGAGCAGGGGGAGGAAGAGAGGGAGAGGAGGTGGAGGAGGAGGAGGAGGAGGAGGAGGAGGAGGAGGAGGAGAAGGGGGGATTCAGCCCTCCTCTTCCCCCATCCTCCCGACGCGGGCGCCCCAGAGATGTCGACCGTTCCCCGGGGCCCGCCGTCCTGGATCGTGTGTTTCTGACTGCGCCGAGGGCCGTACATGAAGACCACATTGAGGTACGATCGAAATTGGCACGGAAAGAACGGTCGAAAACCAACAGTCGTTTTTTTTTTTTTTACAATTTCGAAAACCAGGGCTCGTTGTCGGGTTGGGTCGCCGACGACGTCCGTTTGGAACAGCAGAGTCGCCCGCCTAACGGCGGCCGCTGCCAGCTTTTCCCCAATCAGAGCTTGCCACTGTAGGGGTCCTAGCGGATTCATATGGTTAGGTGAGGTTCGTCGCCGATTTCGGTGGCCGTCCCGGGTGTCCGGGTGCTCGGGTGTCCAGGTGTGCCCGGGTGCCCGGGTGCCCGGGTGCTCGGGGGTGCCCAGGGGAGCCCTGGTGCCCGGGTGCCCGGGGGTGCCCTGAGGAACCCGGGGGTGCCCGGTGGCCCCAGGGTCCGGGTGCTCTATCGCCCTATAGCCTTATAGCCCTTTAGCCATTCACCCCATAACCCTATAGCGCTGATAGCCCTGTAGCCCTATAGCCCTACAGCCCCATAGCTCTGTAGCCCTACAGCCCTATAGCCCTACAGCCCTATAGCCCCACAGCCCTATAACCCTATAGTCCTATAGCCCCATAGCCCTATAGCTCTAAACAAATTCTGATTGGGTTTCTCTCCGGTATGGATAAGATTTGCTGGTGGGCACCGTGTCGATTTTTCTGCACCCATCTCGGGCGTGCCAATGAAGGTCCGAGACCTCGCATGCGCTTTCGCACAAGCCAAGGCCACGAGGGTCGGTTTGGATGCCCAAGCGGGTAATTGAGCCCAGACCTCCGACGTCGGAGAAAACCAGGACGCCCAGACCTCTCTCGACCCCTTCCCTGGGCCTGCTCATTCCTCTGGGATCGTTTCTGTTGAAGGTCCTGGCCAACTGGTAGAACAAGCAGCGCAAGTGTTCCGTCCTGGTGCTGCTTCGAGACGCTGGGGAGTCTGAGCCCCCACCGAATCAAGAATCGGCCCCGAGACATCTCCTGGGTGCGATCTGGCCAGGCCTTCGAGGAGAAGCTCACGGTGGCCACGAGGGCGCCCCGGGAGGCCCGAGAATCACAAAGGTACCTACGCGACCACCCCAGCCTCTGCGGGCCCATCCCTTTCGCCCGCCCTCGCACCTCGCAGCTTTGCCTCGCCCGCCCGCGTGACACAGACACGACACCGAAACCGATTTCCCAGTCGGGGGTCCCCACTTCACTTCGATCTTACCCCCCCAACCTCCGATAAGAGCCTCGGGCCCTCGAGCAGAGCGAGGCGCCCCGAGTCGGGGAACGCCAGCCCGTGCACCCATGACTGCCGAGCCCTGGCCAGGCCCATGCTCAGGCATGGACCCAGGATCGCTGTCGGTGTAGAGTCCCCAGGCGTCCGACGCCGTGGTCTTGTTTTCGTCCGCGGCCCCACAGATCCGGCGGTCCCCGCCCGAGAACACGAGGCGGGATGCCCGCGGAGCACACATGGACCCTTGGCGCCCGGCGGCCGCGGCAGGCAGACGCCCTTCGTCGAGGCCGCGAGCCGGGAGCACCGGGAGCCTTGGGTCAGGAGGAGAAAAAACACACAGACACAATTCATCGTCGATTTCTTAGGAAATAAGGGAAACTATGGGCAGTGGGGGGGAAGACAGACACCCAGGAAATATAGGAGAATATGGGGGATCCTTTTATTTGTGTGTATTTATTTGTGTGTCCCAGGGCCCCTTCATTGGGGCCAGGCGGCCGCGGCGTGCAGGGCGTGCGAGGCGGCGGGTCGGGAGCATCTTGCCTTGAGGTCTGGGGAGCATCTTTTGCTCGGCCGCCCGCGGCCCGCCGCGGCCTCCCAGGACGCCGCCGCCTCCTCCTCCTCCTCCTCGTCGTCCTCCTCCTCCTCGTCCTCCTCCTCCTCCTCCTCCTCCTCCTCCTTCTCCTCCTCCTCCTCCTTCTCCTCCTTCTCCCCCCTCCCCACCCCCCCGCCGCGGCCTCCCAGGACGGCCTCCCGAGTCCAGCCGCGGTCAGGGTGCCGGGGGCGGGGTCCCAGCAAACGGGGGCACGGGGGAGTGCAGACTCTCACGCTTATGCCCGTGCCCGTGCCCACTCTCACGTTTTTACCCTCTCTTCAGGGGGAAGGGGGGGGGGGGGGGCACGCAGTTTTCACGGGGGCACTCGGCAGAGCCTACGCCCCCGTTCGCGCCTGCCTGCGGGGGCCCTGGCGCGGTCAGTGGGCGTCCCCCAACGCCCTCGGGCCGCCCGCGGCCCGCCGCCGCCCCCGAGGACGCCGCCGCCTCCTGAGCCTCCGCGCGGTGGCCCCCTCCGGCCGCGCAGGCGTCGCCGATGCGCGCTCGCGCTCGCGTGCCCGCGTGCGCGCCGCGCCGCCCGCCGCGCCGCCTGCCGCGCCGCGGCGGCGCCCTGCCCTTACCGGGGCCGTGTGGGCATGCTCGCATCCGCCGCGGCGGGGGGGTGGGGAGGGAGGAGGAGGAGGAGGAGGAGGATGCTGATGATGATGATGATGATGATGATGATGATGATGATGATGATGCTGCTGCTGCTGCTGATGGTGATGGTGATGGTGATGGTGATGGTGATGGTGGTGATGATGGTGATGATGATGATGATGATGATGATGATGATGATGATGATGATGATGATGCTGATGATGATGATGATGATGATGATGATGCTGATGCTGATGCTGATGCTGCTGCTGATGAGGAGAATGGGGAGGAGCAGGAGGAGGAGGGGGAGGAGCAGGAGGAGGAGGAGGAGGAGGAGGAGGAGGAGGATGAGGGAGAGGAGCAGGAGGAGGCCGCGGGAGAGAAGGGGGAGGAGGGGGAGGAGGAAGGAAATACACTTCGCTGATTGTGTTGGGGATGGGGAAGGAGGGCAGCCGGAGGATCCTAGACTAGACCTACAGCGCCGCGGTCAAAAACCAGATTCGGGACAAGTCCTCCAGCTGCTCCACGCCGGCAGCTGCCTCGGCAGGGCTGAGGAGCAGGACGAGGAGGATGATGAGGATGAGTAGTAGGAGTGGCAGGAGGGCGAGGAACCGAAGGAGGAAGACTGAGATACGCTGCGCTGATTGCGTCGGGGAGGGGGAGGACAGGCAGCCGGAGGACACCCGAAACTGCCTGGGCAACGTCTTGGGGCGGATCGACTCAGGGGGGGATGTATCGGCCCCTAATTACTCTTCGATCGCCGACAGGGGCCCTCCAAGGAACCGGTGGTTTCGCTAAGGCTATCGGGGGACCATCGCTGATCTGTATCTGTCCGCGATATTCCAGCTCGATGCGTCTCCCCCTGAGCTGGTCCCCCTTGTCGTTGCTCCTCCAGACAGTATCCAGAGGTAGGCCCAGATGCTCTCAACAGTCCCCCGCTTAGAGACCGTCTTCTCCTTGTCAGGCGGCAGCTGGCCCTGCTCAAGACCGTCGCGTCACAGTTGTAGTAATCTGCGCCCCGCCTGTGCCCTGACTCTTGGGCGCCATGCCATAGGTGTCGAGCAGTCGCACGGTTGGTCACCACTAGGGTTGAATCGGGCATGTCCCTCCACAGGAGGAATATAGAACAAATCGTTTACACATTAGCCTGGGGACGTTTTCTTGAATCTTGTTGACTATGTTTGATCACTTGTTGTTACACGTAACATCGTTCAACATCCGCCCGTGCCCGACCTCACACAGCGTATGCAGCTCCTCCTGGAGGTCGAGGCTCCAGGATCGAAGCTCGAGGAGGTTCCTGGACGTCTGGGGCCTTCTTGGAGGGCTCTGGAGTGTGTGCTTTGGGGCCCGCTTCCTCGAGGAAGTACAGTGCCGTTTTTAATGCATGCTCCGCGTGCGGATCACGTATTAAACATGCAGGGCTTTAGTATTATAAACAACGATGAGTTCATGCATGCATTTATTTATACATTGAGCATGTATAAAACATCATGTTTTATACATATCCGATGCATTAAAGACTACCCTGTACGGCGTTCCCTCGAGGAGGTGGCGACCCCCCCAGGTGATGGCCCTCTCGGCACTGCGCCAGGTGGTGTTGTCCCATAGTCACGAGGTGCCTGCCAGTAGCGGGCCTCTGACCAGGGTGGCGCAGGGCTGTCTCAACACCCAGCGCCACCTTTGGCGGCGACCCCCTATGGCGCTCTGAGCCCATGGGCTGGAGTGTCGAGACCAGCCCAGGCTACCCCTTGGGCCTGTTGAGGGAGGCCCGGGCTGCCTTCTGGAGCTGCTTGTGCGCGCGCGACCCCTGGGCATCGCCAAGCTGCCATGGGCTCGCCTACCTCTGCTGATGCCCCCTGCATCTTCCTCTTGGCCTTCTCATGTGGGCTCGGCGCCCTCTTGTATCCCACCCGCGCTCCCGCGCGCGCGAGCGCGCGGGCATCGAGAGCAGGGAGAGTAATGAGAGGGGGGGTAGGTAGGAGGACGAGAGGGGATCGATGAGCCGAGGACGAGGAGGAGGACTAGGACGAGGAGGACGAGGAGGAGGAGGAGGACGGAGAGGGACGGAGGTGGAGGAGGGGGACGAGGAGTGACGAGGAGGATGAGAGGATGGTGCGAGGAGGACGAGTTGGGATCGACGAGTCCGTGTGAGGGGGAGGAGGACAAGTCGAAGAAGCGCAAACATGGATGAGGGCGCTGGGATGAGCAACTGCTCTTGCGACAATGCAGGACCCTGGCCAACTCGGGTGGCACAGGCTTCATGTTCCGGGGAGTACCTTCAGATCCGTAACCCATGTTTGCGGGCGCCAGAACGAGGATCGTGTGCGAAATACATATCCGTGTTCGCGGCCTCGCGGGCCAGGCCCGGCGCGGAACGTATCCGTGCGACCGCGCATCCGCAGGATCGGCGCCCAGGAATCCAGACCAGAGAAAGCGTGATCCACCGCCGCTTTACTGTTGAAAATTCAATTCCCCCCCCTCTTCCTCCGCAACCCGGGGGTCCCCCCCCCTCCAGAAATCCCCCCCCCCCCCCTGCTGGACCCCTCCCCTCCCTCCCCCGGCAAAACCCCCCCCCCTCCCCTAACCCCCCCCCCCCCTCCTTTAACCCCCCCCCCTTTCTCCAGAAAGCCGAGTGGGGTCACTACCGGTTCGAACCACCCCCCTCCCCCCGGTTCGAAACCCCCACCCTTCCCCCCAGAAAACCAGAGGAAGGCGGTTTCCAGAAAACCGGGGGGTCACTAAACCCCCCCGCTTTTGGTCTACTTTTCGCCCCCCCCCCGAAAGCTGGGGGGGGGTCACTCGTTCGAACCCCCCCCCCTCCCCTCGAAACCGGGGGGGGGGTCACTACCGGTTCGAGCCCCTCCCCCCCCACCCCTCACCGCCAGCAAACGACTCCCGATCCCTACCACCGTCCGCACCACATCCCCCACTGCTGTTCCGAGCGCCACTGTCCTCCCCACCACTGTCCCCACTGGTTCCACCACCGTCCCTACTGTCCCCACCAGTGCCCCCACCACTGTCGCACTGTCCCCACTGTCTCCACCACTGTTCCCACCACGGTTCCCTTCTCCCCACTTTCTCCACGGCCCCAACCACTGCCCGACTATCCCCACTGTCCCCACTGTCCCACTGACTCCTCCGCTGTCCCACTGAGCTGTCCCACTGTTCCCACCACTGTCCCCACTGTCCCAACCACTGTCCCCACTGTACCTCTGTCCCATTGTCCCACCGCCGTCCTCGCCACCGCCTTCACCACTGTCCCCACCACCACTGTACCCTCCACTGTCCCACTGTTTCCACCACATTCCCACTGTCCCCACGTCACTGTCCCTACCACCACCGCCCCCACCACTGTCTCACTGTCCCCACTGTTCTCACCATTGTCCCCGCTGTCCCCACCAGTGCCCCCACCAGTGTGTCAATGTTCCCACTCTCCCCACCATTGTCCCACCACGGTCCCACTCTCCCCACTTTCCCCACGGTCTCCACAACTGTCCCATTGTCCCCACTGTACCCACTACTGTCCCACTGTCCCCGCCGCTGTCCCACTGTGATGTCCCAGCGTCCTCACTGTCTCCATCACTGTCCCACTGTCCCCACTGTCCCCACCGCTTTCCCCACCGTGCTACTGTCCCACCACTGTCCTCACCACCGCCTTCATCACTGTCCACACCACTACCGTCCCAACCACTGTCCCACCCACTGTCCCCACCACTGCCCCGCTGTCCCCTCACCACTGTCCCCACCACCACCGTCCCCACCACTGTCCGCACCCCTCTCGGTTTTCGAGGGGGGGGGGGGGGTTCGAACCGGTAGTGACCTCCCCCGGTTTTCCGCCAGCAGCAGTAGAACACGCTCTTTCCCAGACCGCGAGGGCGCAGATACAGTTACGTTCGCCGCTGGTGAGAGGAGGGATCGATAAGTTAGTCTGTGAGGGGGGCTCATTCAGTGGGCTTCGCAGCCAGTAGACGGCCGCCCAACGGGCCAGCCAGGTCGATGGCGGAGCTCCAGGTATCTCCCAACGTGGCCCGGGCCCCAGCTGGGCAGCCTCGCCGGAGCTCCCTCCCCTTCCCTCCATCTCCTCCCCTCCTCCATTCTTCTCGCTCACCCTTCCACCGTTTCTCCCCTCCCTCTCCCCCCCCCAGGGGCTGCAATCGCTCGTCCTGCTTCCTTCCTGTCCTGTTGAACTACCTCCTCCTGTCCTCCTCCCTCCCCTCTCACCCCCCCGCATGTCTCAGGAGGGAAAAACACACACAGACAATTAATCGACGATCCCCAGGAAAATATGGAAAAATATGGGAAGTGGGGGGTAGACAAAAAACCCAGAAAATATAGGAACATATGGGGAATATGTTTATTTGTGTGTATGTATTTGTGTGTCCTGGGGCCCCTTTAATGTCATCTCATCGAGAGGCCTGCATGGACTGCCGATCCGATCCGGTCCAGTCCCTCCCCTCCTCTCGCCCCATCTCGCGGATCGTCCTGCCTGTTTTCCCCTCTTTATTTATAGCGAGGCTGCCTGGCCCCCTCCGCCGGGGGCCCGAGCTTCGCCTCCCTCCTCCCTCGCCTGTTGTTCCCGGTCCCCCCCTCCCCTCCCCTCTCGCCTCCCTCCCACCCATGGGGCGAGGATGGCGGCCCTGCGCCCGCGGATCAGGGCCGAGGAATAGGAGGCCAGGCGGGCCTGATGTCCTTCCTCATGCTTTAGTCGTGTGACTTTGCTCCTGGGCCGTTCACGTGAGTACTGCTCTCCTCTCTCCCGTGGTGACGTCCAGGAGATGTCCCCCCCCCCCCCCGCGTACTTGCTTTTTACACAGGATTCCCAGGAAACAAGTTTTCGTTGTTTTTTGTTCAAGCTGCTGCTCGTTGGCCTCATTTTGGGCTACCGCTCGTTCCGAATCGTACTCCCGCTGCAGCGCTGGCCTCATTCCCGCTGCTGCGCTCGTTCCGAATCGTGCTCCCGCTGCAGTGCTGGCGTCATTACTTCCAGCGCCGTGCCACGGCATAGTTTTTGGTCCTTCCAAATAGGCCCCATCAAATTTAGAATATGGTCCCCCGAAAAAACCATCGGAAGTGTTTCCGCATTCGGTGCCGACTCGTTGATCTTTGGGGTCGCAGAAGGCTTCCCCCAACTTCGGGGCGTCGCCACGCCATGCTATGTCAGGCTACGCGTCCTCCGAATCGTGCTCCCGCTGCAGCGCTGGCCTACTTTCCGCGCTTCTGCTCGTTCCGAATCGTGCTCCCGCTGCAGCGCTGGCGTCATTATTTCCAGCGCCATGCCACGGCATGGTTTTCGGTCCTGCCGAACAGGCGCCAACATCTAGAAAGTGACCCTCCGAAACAAGCATCGGAAGTGATGATACATTCGGTGCCGATTCGTGGATTTTTTGGGCCGCAGAAGCCCCCCCCCACTTGGGGGCGTCGCCACGCCATGCTATGTCAGGCTACTTGTTGAACACCATGCTATGCCATGTGATGTTATGCCTTGCTACGACATCTGATTGTGCGGATAGTTAGGAGATCTACGCCATGGTAAGGGATGGGAAGGAGGGGTACGACGTCAGGTATGACGCGAGCGCACGTAGCTTGATTCATCCCCCTCGCCTTCCCTCCCCCTCTCCCCTGCTTCATTTTTCGCCCTGCATGTCTCATTTTGTTCCGCGATCAATGGTATGTAGCCGCCGTCGCTTTCTGCTGCCGAGAGGCCCTGGCGGGGCAGCCTCCCCGCAGATGTTGGCAGTGTCCTCCTATTCTTTTTGGGTGCGCTTGCCTGCGGCCTGAAGGTGCGCAGCGCTCCTTCCGGTCCAGCCTCAA